CCATTTAAGTTATTTGCATGTATTTAGTACTGTATTATCAATTCTATCCAAACTGCCTATTCCTGTTACAGTTTGATGAATATTCATCTATCCAGGATGTTGAATTTATTCAAATCATTAAATTTTCTGTCTAAATATTTTCAATTGTTTATTAGATCAATTGGTATGGCAAGTGGCGAGGGCTAGCGGAGCTGCTCCAAGTTATTTTCGGCCAATGGGACGATATCTTGATGGAGGATTGATTGCAAACAATCCTACATTAGATGCACTGACAGAAATCCATGAACATTATATTGATAAGAAAATGAAGGTAACACAATACTTTATTGTGATTCAATTTAAATTAAGTTTGAGATTGTTGAACTTAAAATGTTGGTTGTGTCCCATTTGATGTTGACAGAGCTGTATTTACTGTTGTTACTATCCATGTGATGTAGACAGGGCCATATTTAATTTAGGTCCTACACTCCATTTGATGTTAACACGACCATAGTTAAGGTCCTACCACATGTGATGTTAACAGTCCTATGCCATGTGATGTTGACTTTGTCATATTTAATGTTGGCCCTGCCCCATGTGATATTCATATGGCACATGTAATTTAGGGCCTACTGCATATGGAGTTGACTGGGTCACTTCTAACGTAGGCCCTGCCCGGGTGATGCTGCAAGTTAATTTATATTTCTTAAAATTTTTGTATTTATATTTTTAAGAATCTTCCGACACGGTCTGTTGGACTTGTTTTGTCAATTGGCACAGGTGTAGTTCCTCGCAAAGCAGTTAAGAACATTGACATCATGCGTCCAGACAGTCCCTTAGACTTAATCAATGCTGCAAAGACCATGATGGGAGCTGCAACCCTTGGACAAATGTTTATAGAGTTGGTAAGTACCAATGGAAAAGTATAAATGCCCAGGAAACCAAATTTTAATGTTATAATAACGTTTGGTGTTCAAATCATTTTTAGTGGACTCGGAGGGAAATAAGTTTTACATTCGTTTAAAACTTAATTTGGTTATCCAAGTTCAATTAGTTCATTGTAACTTGTACTTTGTACTTTTTATGCTTGCTCATTTTATGTAACATTATTTGTGGAACTGAATAATTCATTCAAGGTCTTTATTCAGATTCAGATAAAAAATCAAAAATTAAAAACGGATAGCCAAAAGGCTGTATATGAACTGTCTCTTATACACATCTAGATGTGTATAAGAGACAGGCTAAACGCTGCCCTCAGTCCATGAAAGGTTGCAGCAAAGGATGTGCTTACAATGGTTCATACGATGGCAAAGCACCAGTTAAACAAGATATCATCGAAAATCAGTGCCACAAAGGTAGGTTTCTACATTCTGTGAGCAGCTTAGCTCAGTTAGCTTAACTGCTGGTATGAATGAATGAATTTGTTTCAGGAAATTTTTTTTTCCTTTCCTTTTCCCTTCTCTTTCTTTTTACTTTCCTTTTCCCTTCTCTTTCTTTTTACTTTCTCTTTTCCGTTTTTAAAAAAACAAATTAATAGTAATAATAATTTTGAAATTGACAGTGAAACGGGTAAAAATAACTTATTTTATTTTATTTTTATTTTAACATGAGACTTTTTTTATACCTTGTTCCGTGAACTTATATTTTTATAGAATGTCAAGAAGCGGATGGAAAATAAAAATAAAATTTTCTTTTCTTATTTATTAAACAGTTTTGCCAACAACATCCAGATAGAGGAGATAATAAAAATCAATTGTTATTGGTGAATGTAATCAGTGTAGTATTGCGATGGTTATATTCTTTAATTTTATATAATTAGGAAGCAATATACATATCTTCTTTTTGGAGATTTCAAGGCAGCGCCAGGTGTAATAAAAGTAAAGAGAAACTTTTACTTTTTTTCTGGAGTTTCCATTTTTTGGAATTCCATTTTATCGTGGCGGCGGATGCGCTAATTGGCCAAAAATAATTTTTTTATTTTATTTGAAATCATCATTGTTGACTAGTGGTTGGTTCACTAAACAAAATAAACATTTCTCTAACCAGTTAATGACCCATTTTGAGCATCTGTTCTTTAACATCCCTTGAAGTGGGACAAACAGCAAATTACCCGGACGTCTGTATCGGCCAAAAAGTATTGAGAACCACTGCTATAAAATTAATAATAACACTTAACAAAGAAAATAACAGTGATTACAAAAAGAAAAATTTGAAATACATTGAACAAAATTACAAAAGATTTATCATTACAAACATTATTATGATCATAATTTTTATTATCGTTTTGACCAAGTAGTCTTAATATATGTATTAATTCAAAAATTATTAAACAAGGTTAATTGAATTGAATATGTACAGTACACAGTCAGTGGCGTATCTGGGGGGCACGCGAGGCACACATGCCCCTCCAAAAATTACTCACACCCCCAGTCGCCCCCCCCCCCAAAAAAAAAATTACTTGCAAGTAGTTTAAAATCACCTGAAAATCACCTTATTTTGCAAGTTAGCACCCCTCAATTTATCATCGAGCCTCCCTCACTTCCCCTTTGCGCCCCCACCAGCACCCCCATTTCACTTCTAGATACGCCACTGTACACAGCACACAAAGAAAATGTAAATGTATATGAGGACTGCTTTTACAGTCATGTAGTCCTATCGCATTGTATATATTTTAATTGTTTGATGTCAAGTCTATTTCTTTTCTGAATTTCAGGTGACTGACTCTGTAAACCGTGCAGTAGATAGACCTCAAGCGTGGTGTGGTTCCCTTCAGGTGCCTTACTTTCGTTTCAGTCCTCCTATTTCCGTTGATATGCCGTTGGATGAGTCACGTGATGTCATGCTCTTGAAGATCCTTTGGGAAACTGAGTGTTACATTAAGCAAAATGAAGTTAAGATCAAAAAGATGGTCACAATTTTAAAATCCACCTAAGCAAAGACTTTAACATCTGCAAAATTCAGTATTATTTGGCTATAAACATCGTCTAAAGCAATATATTTAAATGTCTACAATTTGTTACCATATACCTAAGCAAGGCTACAAGTAAAAATCCACCTAAAGAGGTTGATTGTTTACAATGTTTTACCATCCACCACGGTATATGGCTACAATTTTAAGATCTAGCCAAGCATGGTATTTAATTAGCTACAATTTTAACATTCACTTTCGAAGAAAATATTGAAAATTTTATTGTCAGTCCATGTGACTTTTTTGAGGTAATGAATATTGTATAATTTGGTAGATACTGTAGTAGTAAAATCATGTCATAATTCCACAATTGGGGAAAGGATATGTAAATTATTTTATATGTGTATAAAAAATATTAGTTGTATAATACAACATTTGTATTAGAAAATTATTATATAAGGTTATGTTATAAGATATTTATCCAATATGTGATCAGGGGCGGATTTAGGGCTGT